AAGACTGCGGTTAAATGATATGACTTGACCCATTTGTCAGTTATGTCAGTGAAGCATTCAGTAGAGCACGTACTGTTCCACGAATATGGGAATTTTTTTATGATCTTCCGATCTGGGCCATTTTTGGCTCAAATCTATCCATCTTAGTCAGAAGAAGGTGTCAGTTTGAATATGGAGAGCAAATGTACGATTATGCCGCTTGAAAATTCTGGAGAAAGATCCATATAATGACTCATCGGATCCTGTAAAAGCTTATAAATTTCTCATCCAGTGTTCAAAATAGCCTGAGACAGATTAAGAATGCACATCTCGTTTGATAAGATTTTACTGAACATCACGCATGTTTTGTTTTTGTTTTTTCTTCCTATGGCATAGTGCTCGTTTTAATACACGCTGCTGTTTTAGTATTGCGCGATGTAAAAACTGTGTAAAACCTGATTAATGAGTTCCTTCAAATTAGTTGTCATCAGTTGAGTTTAAGTTTGCTGTCCTTGAGCGACCTTGTTTTGAAAGCAAGTTCCTTAAAAGATAAATAACTCTCAATTTTAACTGCAGCAGTTTTGACGGAAGCACAGTCAAAAAAATTATATATTAAAAAAAGCTTTTACTGTTTTACTGACAACTCTGTTTACTGTTCTGCTTACTACTCCTTTTCATTTGTATTGCGTGGACCGTGGTGAACTTTTTCTTTTAAAGACAGAAAACTACAAAACAGACACCTGATCGACGGAAATCAATCTTTCTCTCTAACTGGAACAAATTTCTAATATAAGAACAATTTTCAAAGTCCATGGAAAAACCACATTTCATGATCTGATTTGTTAACTTTGTTTTGTTGTTTACAAGCTGTTATTTGAACTCAAATAGCAATACTAGGAAAGTGAAACTAATCTTTGGTTCCTAGAGGGGTTTTTCCATCTCTTGACAGTAGTATCAGTGCCTGTTTTTGTGCCTTCAAATAGGCACAGAAGGGGATTCAAAATTACCTAAGAAATTGCAAACCTTCCATTAGGAGTTTGAATGTTTGAACAGATCTTCAGAATAGAATTTTAGTCTCATGCTGCTTGGTTTCAGGGTTGAGCTTGTCCGGTATTTGTTGATAAGACTCAAGAAACATAACCGATTGATTTAATGATCAAAAAATTATGTTCTTAGATGTGGAAGGATTTATCTCCTTACAAATTACAGGAGCGAAAGGAATAAATTTAGTCAATATGCTCTCTGACTTGTCTGCCCACATAAGCTGTTTCGAGAAGCGAAAGTTTTTCCAGTAAGGAAGAGCTTGAAAATCAGTGCACTTCGAGGAACTGATAACGACATTTCGTAACTGTCTCTAGGATGGATAACAAGAGAAGAAGTTTGTAATATTTATTACACTTGGTTAATAACGCTATACGGAGTCATGCACGGACATCATATTTTACGGTCCCTTTACATTGTATCTCCTACAACTTAGCTCTCATCAGTTGAGTTTGAGTTTCCTGTCCTTTAGCGACCTTGTTTTGAAAGTAAGTTCCTTGGAAGATCTACTGTTACATTCCATGGATTATAAATAACTCTCAATTTCAACTGCAGCAGTTTTGACGGAAGCACAATCATGTGCTTTTTAACCGGGAAGCGATGCCATAAAACGATAAATCATAGGAGCTTTTACTGTGTTACTGACTACTCTGTTTACTGTTTTTCTAATTTATTCTCGACAGCCGTTCTAATGATTTCTTCATTTGCATTGCGTGGACCTCTGTTTATTTTTTTAGCGACAGAAAACGACAGAACAGACAGCATTTGTCCCTGATCGACGAAGATCAATCTTTCACTCTAATTGGAACGAATTACTTAGTTATGAACAATTTTCAAAGTCCATGGAAAAACCACATTCAATTGTTAACTTTTAATTATTTTTTATTCATAGCATCTCGACCCGTGTTTTTTTGTTTACATGCTGTTGTTTGAACTCAAATAGCAACATGAAAGTGAAACCAATCTTTATTTCCTAGAGGGTTATATTCATCTCGTGACAATAAACATCAGTGCCTGTCTTTGTGCCTTTAAATAGGCACAGAAAGGGACTTAAATGACCTAAGAAATTGCAAATCTTCCATTAGGACTTTGAATGTTTGAACGGATCTCGCAATAGAATATTAGTCTCGTGGCGCTTGGTTTCAGGATTGAGCTAGTCCGGTATTTGTTGATGAGAGTCAAGAAATACAATTGATTGATTTGATAATCAAAATATTATATTCTTAGATGTGGAAGGATTTATCTTCTTACATATTACAAGGGCAAAAGTACTAAAGTTATTCGGAAACTTCGAAATAATGCTGCTGTCACAAGAACTAGTGGCAAGATTTTAGGTTTATTTTAGACATGAGAGATTTCAGGTATGGAAAGCCATAGGTCGAATGTATAGTTATCCTTTTTATTTATTCTAAATTGTCCTTTGTATATTTTATTCGCTAATTCCTTTTAGAGTCCAGCTTTCTTTCGCCCCTTGAAACTACTTTACTATCATGACAAAACAGACAGTGGGCTAAATCTGGTGCGAAAATATGCTCTCTTACATGCCTGCACATATAAGCAGTTTCGAGAAGCGTAAGATTCTCCAATAAAGAAGTGCTTGAAAATCAGTGCACTTCGAGGAATGGATAACGAAAACTCGTACCTGTCTTCAGTTCAGGATGGATAACAACAGGAGAAGTTTGTCTTATTCATTGCACTTGCTTAATAACATCATACGGAGTCATGCGCGCACGTCATATTTTACGACCCCTTTACATTGATATTCTTTGCATGCAGCTAATTGAACTAAGCAATCATGAAATCATGAATCACAACCCAGTCATATACCTGATTGAGTGTGCCTCTTGTGTCCTTGTTTATCTCTGTTTTGACCAAAGACTCTGTTCCTTGATTCAGTCAGCTAGTAATCACCTCTTGCTTCCTTCAGTAAATGAATGCTGAAACAGCAGGTATGCAGTTTAAATCAGTCGAAACATTAATCCAATCATTGAATAACGATTTTACGTTTTAGTTCGCTACCTTTAGAAAGAAATCATTTGTTTGATGAGTATTACGCCGAAATGAGCTTTACCAACTTTAAAAATTCAGAGATGCTTCTAAATTAGTTGCAGTATAATCATCATAGCGATGCCATTAAATGGTTACGCTGTAAATGCTTTAGTTTTCGCTTCTGAGCGTTAATTATTTGCGATTCAAATCTAGAATATTAACTTTTAAACTAACCGTTTTGAGAGCTTCTGGAATTACAGTAGCAGGCGTCGATAGTTTCATTTAAAAAGCAACAACGAACTTACATTCCGCAACCAACGACATTAAAATGAAAGTGAAACCGGGTTTTTTTTAGGAAGCGGCGCGGCTTCTTTTCGTAATGTTTATTTCTGCACTGTCTAAGATTAGTAGATGATATGACTTGACCTCTTTATCAGTTCTGTCAGTGAAGCATTCAGTACAGCACGTACTGTTCCACGAACAAAGGAGTTTTTATGACCCGCCGATCTGGGCTATATTTGGCTGAGATTCGTCAACCTACGTTAGAAGAGGGTATCAGTTTGGATATGGAGATCAAATGTACGATTATGCCGCTTAAAAATTCTGGAGAAAGATTCATAATAACTCATCAGATCCTCTAAAAGCTTTTAAATTACACATCCAGCGGTCAAAATAGCCTGAGGCGTCTTATGAGGGCGAGTTAATTTTAAGGGGCTCGTGACTGTCTACTTGACGGGCCATGTTTGATATAGTGGACCGCGCGGGGAGAAAACCTTAGCATCTCCCCTCTTGTTCTTTTTTACCATTACCCACCCCCCTGGTACAACTTCGCTTTTATTCCCAGTCTTCCGCTGCTGTAAAAATCAAAGATGGCAACCATAATTACTAAGGACTCGCCCGCCAAAATTACGTTTGCCCTGCTCTCAAGTCAAGAAAATTATAATGATGTTAGCAACGCAATGCTTTACCCTTCATTGCAATAGTCAGGCAATTAAATTTCCCTCTACCCTTGTGCATTTTAGTTCGGAAACATTTACTTTTACTTACTTTACACAAGATCCACAGTACAATGCCAGAAATCGTTGATTTACGGGAACCTGAAACCTTTCAAAAACTTTTCCAAAATTAAAGTGTTTTAAATCGTCATTTTTTAAGAGACAGAAGACTCTCATGCCTGGTAACTCAGAGGATATTTATCAGAATATAATTGAAGGAATTATGAAATACTCTTGCTCTTTTCAGGAAATGACTAAAAGCTATCTTCGCTTTGCTTCCATTGCTGGGTGTAACGTTTTTTGCTGAACTTCTTTGTTGATTTTCATGTTGCTGTGGGATATTCTTACGTGCTATTGAATTCCATCCAAGTAAACTGCGTGACGCAATTAAAGCGTATCGTTGTTGATGTGGCTGCTTTTCACGTGGCTTCTTGGTCAGAAATGTGGATGAAAGGAAAATTAAGGAGATGCAGGAATCAAGAGTGAAAGACGGTTAAGAATAATTATGCAGGACAAGGGTGAAATAGAAAAAAAAATCAATCCGTGATGATTCGAGATCCAGATAAAAATGAATTTTACAAATTAATCCACATAAAAGGGTTCAGACAAACCAACCAGCTTTACAGGAAGAAGAGTACCTAATGCCCTCTTATAGGAAAGTATGGTAACGTTACGACATAACAGAGCTTCTTCATTAAGTTAGGCCCTCGTTTTCCCAGAAGAATACTTTAACTGCATTCTTTTTAATTTATCAGGGTGTTCTGCTCTTTTTTTTCCCACTGTGTACATAATGATGAGGTGAGTGTAAACACTGACATTAATTCTAGTCTAATTTTATTTTCAAGTCGCTGAATCTTGAGCGAATTCCAGCTTAGGGTTGAAAAAACACGAAAGCAAATTATATACATACATATATATAAATATATATATATATTCAAAATGAAGGAATGTATAGAGAACCTATTAGAACCTAGTACAAGAATACGCAAAATTGTAAAAGTGCGAGAAAACGTCGGTGAACTTCTGAATTGGATATACTTCTAAATCTAACAGATAGAGAAGATAATGTGAGATGGAGCCAAGTAGCTAAAAAGATAACGCAGGCCAGGATTACTTTTGAACTTCTATAATAAGATACAGTAACTGGTAAAAGCGAGAAACCTAAATGTAACAAGGATTAAACCTATCGTTTTCAACTTGGGACTAGGGTGTAGGAGTGGAAAAAAAAAGGTTAAAATCGACCGTCATCCATTCCCATTGCTTAACCCTTTAACCCCATTGAGTGACCAAGACAGAATTTCTCCCTACAATATTCATACAATTTCAAGCAGACAAGTGATGAGAATAAAGAGAAATAAAAAAATAAAGATAATTTACTTCTATGCGAAATGCAATAAGAGAGGATTTATTACTTATAATCAACCTTTTTTCGTTGATGTTCTTAGGTTCGCGATGTCGTGAATAAAATGTTGCGTAAAAAGAAGGACAATCTCCAGCAATTCAAGCAGGAGCCCAAAAAAGTGACGGAAGAGGCTTGCAAGGAAACACCAGGTGGGGTAGTCGGATGTTAAACAAATTTTTATCGTTCAGTACAACAAGTAAAAGAACGAGAATTTTACTAGAGTATTTCACCTGTCAAGTTTTGTAGACGGCTTCGTCATGATTTGATAAATAAGCAAACAAAAAAACAAACCAACAAACAATCCTCTCCAGCCTCAACAATTCTTACTCCTTCTTCCTCTCTGAACATTCCCGCTGTTTTATTTTTTAATTTTATTTTCTAGATATTGGTTGGTTTTTTTTCCCTTTTTTTTGGGAAAGCGCGAATTTTCAAATGCAGAGCGTTCTTTTATACCATTTCTTAGCATTACAAACTTATAACTATTAATTCCTTTCCTTGTTTTCGTACGACAGTGCAACGTTTACAGTGTTGATCGAGTCGAGGACAAATGAAAAACACACACATTTACACAACAGTCGAGGCGAAGAAGGATGAAAGCCGATGAAGGAGCCAGTCTTCTGCAGCGAGTTTTAAAAAAACATAGCATTTAGATTTAAAAAAAAAGAATATATAATTAAGGTTGAAAGATTTTTCGAAGAAGCGAGGCCCACAAGACGAAGCAATGATTTCAACAAATATTTACATTTTTGATATAACTCCAAAAACCTAGACTCGATTTTCCGCCGCTCTCTCGTGTCCGGTTTTCGCTCGGTAGCTTCTTAAACCGCGCACAGAAGTTGAAGAGAGACATTTGAACGTAGAGGTGGTCTTTATCAGAGACCGAGGCCAATATTCTCTCTGGCCTAGCTAGCAAATTGTTTATCAACTTGCGAAAAAAGAAACCAAATGAACGGACTGATTAAAAAATATTGAAGGGAGGGACA